GTGAAAAGCAAACTCCTTCACCTGAACGCTTGAGCTAGGTTTTATTAGTCTCTCATGGTAGGGCCACAGATGATTCTTAGAATTGAAGTTGGGGGAGCATTTACCAAATGTTCTGACTTTCAAGTCTTTTAGGAACCCACATGATAGGCTTCTCACCTGCTTCTGATACACAGCCAGGGTAAGAAATACTAGTCTAGCACTAGATTGATGAAGAAGCGAGGGCCAGCTGTTAAAGGACAAATTGATGTGCAGATCATGGGCTAGTACAAGCATGTCAAACTCAAAGGCTAACGGGCCAAATAAACAAAGTTTAAGTTTATGTGGGCCGAAAAAAACCAAAAGCTCCAATTTTCACAGAAATGTAGACTATTTCGATAGAGACATGCTGAATACAAAGGGCTGAAATAAAAGAGTAATCATTAACGTAACAGAACATTTTAATAAAAATTAATATTTTTTTCTTGACCATTAACTTACTAGACACTAAAGAACTGCACAAATAAGCATAACACAAATAAACCTATTTTTCTTGTTCTCCAAAAGTGAAATATTTCCTTTTGGGCACACCAAACAAATGAGTTCAAGACTAATGACGTGGCAATTGGCTGCTAAAATATTCGCTGCTAATATCAGTAGAGAGAAATGGTGCGCATCTTAAGGTGCTTAAGGGAAATGAATGCAACACGATTATAGTAATTAAGCATTAGTGAATATTGTAGTTTGTTATTAATAATTATGTATAATGATGTAGAAATCAAGTTATGAAATTTTTATTAAAATGTTCCTTACATACTGTTATATTTGCTGGTCTGCAAAAATATTTGTTGTGGGCTGCATGTGGCCCATGGCCCATAAGTTTGACATGCTTGGGCTAGTACAAGGCCAAAAAAAAAAGAACTTTTAAAAAATTAATTTTGTCCCAAAATTATGGATGTAATTTAAATTTATATGTTCATTTTATACATTTAATTTATATTTTCCTCATTACATTGGATTTTCAATAATGTTCATCCCTTAGTAAATCCTGACTATCTACACTTACAGGTTTAAAGGAGAAATTTGAAGGGGAAGATCCTCCCCAATGTCCCCAATTGTCTTAGTAAGGCAAAAGAAACATTATCTCATTCTTACTGGAGCTGACAATGGATAGGAGGCTGAGGATGGTAGTGAAGGTTTGAAATAGTTATTGAGAAGAATTGTGTAGGGAATGAATAAGAATTTTTGAAATTCTGGTGCATGTGCATGTTTGTATTCAATTGTGTATAGTCTATCACTCATGCCTCATTTAAATTTTATTAGTGTATTATTTAATATTTGACTAGAGGCTCGGTGCACGAATTCGCGTGGGGGAAGGGACCATGGGAGGTTGACTGGCCACCAGCCAAGGGAGATTGGCTGTGGGAGTACACTGAGCACCAGGGGACAGCTCCTGCATTGAGCTTCTACCCCCTAGTGGTCAGTTCGAGTCATAGGGACCAGTCATTCTTGTTGTCACCTCTTTCAAAGCTAATTAGAAAAAGGTGGGCTGGAGGGGGAAGGAGAAAGTAGATGGTATCTCATTCCACCTCCCTCTCAAAAAACCCAATACTGCTTATGTGTATACACTGTATAACATTATGCAAACATGGAAAATATGTGGCCACAATAATAACAGTAGTACCTCCAGGGTGGGGGTGGAATAAAAAAGGGATGGGGAGTAGGTAAGAATAAAAACACTAGCAAAACAGAAACAGGCCCGTGACACAATGTTAAGTAACCTGATGAAATAAACACATGAACAAGGAACAGTCATCATGGACTACTGCATTCATTTGGCAAAGGTTTGTTCAATAAAAACACTGATTAGATGAATACTTTGTGAGCACTTTCTAATTGATCTGCTATATCTACTAAAGATTTTAGAGAAATTAAAGTTAGAAGACAAAAAAGCAGATGTATAATGTTCAGGCTGAAAATCGTATTTCTGTTTTTGGAAAGGAGATATGAACTGGGTCATCACATATTGCTATGGACTAAATATGTTTTCCCTGCGCATCTTCCCCCCCCCCCCCCCCCGCAAATTCATATGTTGAATCCCTTACCCACAATGTGACTACCTCTTTAAATGCCATATCTCCAGATGCAATTAAGATTAAATTAGGGTGAAGCTCTAATCCAATATGACTGGTATTCTTCTAAGAAGAGGGGCCAACAAAGAAAGGCAGTCTTACAAGCCATGGAGAGGCTTCAGGAGAAACTAAACCTGTCAACACCTTGAGTTTGGATTTCCAGACTCCAGAACTGTGAGAAAATAAATGTGCTTTTTAAGCCACAAGTATTTTGTTTTGGCAGGCCTAGCTAACTAATAACTTGAATAAAGTTAAACCATGTTTAATTTGTTTAATGATATATATATTTTTTAAATTAACTTTCCCCAAGCATTGGAGTGATTGTGCTTTTGGAAAAGGGCAGGGGGATCCAGAGGCAGATTCAGCAATTCTGAAATATAAAGACAGTGGCCTTGTGGAGAATCAGATAAAGGAGAAAATCCATCTTAGTCTTAAACCTAAAACTAAGCAAAATCATTTTTAGTCATGTCCTTGAAATTACAAGTGAGGGACATAGGAAAATCTTCCAACACACAGGGGATCCCAAGTAAATAGAAATTAAAAAGCATCGACTTGAGCTTCTGTGGATCTCAGCCTGGAGCAGATCAGAAAGCACCTGAAGGGCTTGTTAAAACACAGGTTACTCGAGAAGCTTCTGAATCAGGAGTCCGGAGTGGGACTCATGATTTCCAGTTCTACATTTCCCAGATGTTGCTGAAGCTGCTGGTCTGAGATCACAGTTTGAGAAGTGATTCAGTGTGTGGTCCTTATAGTATTTTAATGAACCTGGAAAGTATTAGCAGGGCCTTATAGATTCACTCATGATCACAGCCTCCCTACACCCTGTGTTTATAAGAAATTCCAACAAGTCTTAATTTCTATCTGTTTGAATTCTGCCTTGTATCATTGTAAAACATACTTTTTGAGGAGTGAAGACTATCATAATAAAAATAAGTCATTTAAATAAAAGTAAAATGTGCCACAGACAACAGTTTTATAAAGTTCCAAGTTTTAAATTACTGCCTATAAATTAATTTAACTCAGTAAATAAGGTAAGGAAGTTTGCTGACCTAAAGATTAAAGCCAATATAAAAGCAAGTAATTTCTCCAGTTCTTGAAAAAGGTCACTTCTGTAAATAAGTATTTCAGGTTTATTACTAGGAATAAATAAGCCGGCTTTTAAGTACAAAGCAAGTATAATAATAAAACTTACCTTCGGCACAAGAGCCACACATGATTCTCTGGATATTGGTTATAAAAGGAGAAATTTCCACATGGCATTTTGAATGTGTTGTGTCAGTTAGACACATAAACACAGATCACTTTACCATTATGGTAGAATATCTTAAAATACTGCAGATAATTTAGAAAAGCTTAGATAATAAAAATAAAGTTCCTGAGGTTTTGACAGGACTTGAAAACCAATGGAGAACACAGATTCTGCTGAAGTGGAAAATATAAAATCTGAATCAAAACACATTTGGGTAGCTACGATAGGCAAAACCTACATTTAAAACAGAAACAGTAGCAGATCCTTGTCATTAATGCCTTAGCATCATACTGATACCTTTGAAAGGAGCATCCTAGAACAACTTAATATTCCTCTCTCGTCCTCTGTCCAGGATCTTTTGTGAGAAGCACTTACACAAAGCACTTTTGGCGGCGCCATAACAAATATACACGCAGTATAATGATATGTTTTACTAAGCTAACAAAGTATTGTTCATAAAGAAATTTTATAAATTCAAAAATAGGTTGTTGGTAACATCATTACCTTTAATGCATTGATTTCGATTCACAATGTTACTTCATTAATCTTAAACAGAAGCTCCCATCTATAAAATGTCCCACAGCTTCTTCCTTATTAAAAAGGTGGTAAATAAAAGCAGGTCAGATACTCATAAATTCTAGGTCAACAATAGCAACTTCTTTCACAGCACTGATTAGCAGAGAACATTTTCAATTAAAGTAGTATACAATTTACCAAAAATAGAATAATTCTGTAATGCAAAACATTGTCTTCCACTATGAAGAATATATGTGTATGTGTATGTATTATGTGTACATATACATATTTTTTATAAGTTTCACTTTAAATAGCCCTTATTCAAGTATATTTTATGGTATCTTTTGAAATAATCACCTTGCTATATTGTTTGTAAATACATAAAAAAATAAAGGGTTAATCTAAGAAAGGTTAAAAGTTTCAGTGTAGTTGACTTAGTCACTCACTTCAGTGAAAACCTGATTTGAATTCAAAACAAGTTTAGGTGCCATATTAAGTTTAACTAGTTAGTAAAAAATACATACATATATATATATTTAAGTGTCAAATATTTAGTAAATTTCCAATTTGTTAACATTAGAGCAAAATAAAAAGTCTATTAATCTACTCATCACCCACTCTTAATCCCCAAAATTCATTTATAAAACTAAAATAACACACTAATATACAATATACCTGCTTACAAACACATAAGTAGCCATAAATAAAACTTTATTCTTTAATTCCATTTACAAGCTACCAAATGTTATGTATCGTACACAGTGTTGAACACTTAAATGGCTGCAGTCATGGAAAGATCCAGACTCAATGGAACAATGTGGATAAAGATAAAAGCAGTAATACTGTAAGAGAAAGGTTGCAAAAACATGGTTTTTCAATGATACAATCAATCAGATTTGTAATTATACAGGAGATCTGGCTAAGAAAAAGCCTGAGAGCCATGCGATTCCCAGCTTTATTGTTTGCAGTTCAGCTAAAGTCTGTATAGTCATTTTGTATTTTGAAGTCATTAAAATAAAAAAATGGTTAAAAACTATAGCAGCAACAAGCAAACCCTGTGACAGGAAGGCAAGGGTTAAGAACTGAAAAAAAGTTTACACAGTGTGTTTAGGGCAAGTGTGTGCTGTTTATCTTCCATCAGCAGGAGTTCGACTGAGGGACAACATGATTCGGGCAAATCTCTCGCACAGTTCAAGTGTAGAATACGAAGGTAACTTCGGTGGCTCCTGGAATCCTTTCATCTCCGTAGAACAATCGAGAAGTTTTGGCAGAAAATCTGTCAGCTTCTCTTGGAGGTTTGCTGCAAATAGAAACAATTAGAGTTAACTAAAGATAGAGAGCGAGTGAAATTATCTTTAAGATAACTTATTAACTTGTTGTGGCCAATTGATGATTCATTTTAAAATACACAAAATTATCATCATCTTGAGGGAGAGATAAAAAGACAAATGAAAGTTAATAGCTTAGTTTGTAAATAAGAAAAAAGTAATGTGAATATTACAGAATATAAAAAATATATTATTTATATTAACTGCTTTTAATTCCAACCAACTCAGGTATCCATTAGCATTATTTAAACTTACATTCCATTTCTTGTCCAAGATAAGAGCACCATCGATTTCTCATATCTTCCACAGCGAGTATATCTTTCTCTTCCATTTCATCCACCAATAATAAGGGCAAAAATGGGACAATAAACTCATTCATAATAATCAGACCATTATTTACTTCTTGATCCTCTCCAGATTCAAACAGTTCTGCAGCTTGCTCATTTAATTTCTTCATGCAATGAGAAAAAGAACAAGTTTATTTTTTAATGTAATAAAATTCCTGTAAGTGTAAATACTGAAGATGATATAATGAGTATGTTCACAAACGGTATTAGAACTAATGGCAACCAGGAAAAATAATCTCAAACTATTCTAGCATGGAAAATCTCTTAGAAAAAGCTATGTGTATAACAACAGAAATAAAAGGAAAAAAAAAAGTAGGAAAAATATTGTTGTCATGCTTTTAAAATTTGTGTTTAGCTTATATTGATCATCACTACAGGGGCCAATTTTTATTTATTCTCCAGGGGTGAACTTCCCCCAATACTAAAATTTAATAAGCACTCAAAATAATTTTGAAAAGAAAGAAATTTAAACGCCATATTAATTTTGAAAAACTCTATCATGTCTCCATAAATGTCAACTGAACAAGAAAAGCTATATTCCTTGGTACAAAAATGTAAAAGTAAATAATTTATCCCTTCAAAAAATTCTTACTGAGTTCAAAGCCTGTGCCAAAAACTGTTCTAGATGCAATAGTACTTAAGTGATTAAGACAGAAAACTCCTATGGAGCTTACAATGTGGTACAGGGACTGGTAAGGTTTTTCTGTGAAGAACAAGACAGGAAATATTTTAGGCTTTGAGGCTATATTGTTTCTGCTGCAATTACTCAGCCATGCCATTGTCTTACAAAGGCAGCCACATATGAATTATAAATGAGTATGGTTATGTTTCAAATGAAACTTTACAAAAACAAGTGACGGGCTGGAATACAGGACAAGTATGCTGATCCCTAACCTAGTAGAACTGAGAAATCCTTAAGGATAAGAAATATAGACATAAAAAAACTGATAAGGAATTCAGGTAAAATAAGAGTTATAATATTTAAGGGCTTATGTTTAAAATCTTATGTTTATAGCATGATAAATATGATTTTAAATAACTGTAGTTTTAAGCTGAATTTCAAAAACAAAGACTACATTATTTCTTCTTTTTTTTTTACATTCTGGAATAGTTTATTTCCTTGTCACTGTTGAAGTTTTATTGTTACCCATCAATATACAATAAAACAAACTTATAATTACTAAAGAGAACCCAGAATTGTCTTGTGGGCAGAGAACATATCAAGAACTTGTAGACTGATTGCAAATGCAAGGAACAGATGCAAATACTATTGAAAAGGTAAATTTATACCCCCCAAAACAATCCTATGCTATTATTATCAGACTAGAAGCCCGGTGCACAAAATTCGTGCATGGGGGGGGGTATGTATCCCTCAGCCCAGACTGCACCCTCTCCAATATGGAACCCTCACAACCCAGCACTGCTGGCTCCCAACCACTCACCTGCCTTCCTGCCTAATTGTCCCTAACAGCTTCTGCCTGTCAGCCTGATCACACTCTACCCACTCCCCTGCCGGTCCAATTGCCCCCAATTGCCCTTCCCTGCTGACCTGGTCACCCCTAACTGCCCTCCCCTGCCAGCCTGAACTGCCCTCCCTTGCCAGCCTGGTCACCCCTAATTGCCCTCCCCTGCAGGCCTGGTAGACTCCACTGCTCTCCCCTGCAGGCTTGATACCCCCAACTGCCCTCCTCTGCTGACCTGGTCACCCCTAACTGCCCTCCCCTGCAGGCCTGGTAGACCCAACTGCCCTCCCCTGCAGGCCTGATCACCCCTAACTGCTCTCCCTTGCCAGCCTAGTCCCCCACAACTGCCCTCCCTTGCAGGCCTGGTTCTCTCCAACTTCCCATCTCTGCAGGCCTAATCACCCCCAACTGCCCTCCCTTGCCAGCCTGGTCACCGCTAATTGACCTTCCCTGCAGGCCTGGTCCCCCAAAACTGCCCTCCCCTGCAGGCCCGGTCACCCCCAAATGCCCTCCCCTGCCAGCCTGGTTGCTCCTAACTGCCCCTCCCCTGCAGGCCTGGTCATCCCTAACTGCCCTCCCTTGCTAGCCTGGTCGCCCCTAATTGCCCTCCCCTGCAGGCCTGGTCCTCCCCAACTGTCCTCCCCTGCAGGTCTGATCACCCCCAACTGCCCTCCTCTGCTGGCCCAGTCATCCCTAACTGCCCTCCCCTGCAGGCCTGGTCCCAACCAACTGTACTCCCCTGCGGGCCCGATCACCCACAAATGCCCTCCCCCGCTGGACATTTATGGCAGTCATCCTGTGTCCACATAGGGGCAGCCATTTATGTGTTGGAGTGACAGTTAACTTGCATATTATCCTTTTATTAGATAGGATGCTTACCTCCTATGTATTTGTCTTTATTTCAGACTGTTAAAGAAGGTTATACACTTTCTGATATTCTTAATGATATCACTAAGGAAGACCTCAGATACCTTGATCTATGGTAAGAACAGTCTCAGAACACTTTGTATAATACAAAATGACTTGTTTTCATGTGATTATGCTTTTAAATAAAGTAGTCGAAAACAAAGTGCAGCTGCTTTTCCCCCCTTCATTGAAATTAATTCTCTTTTCTATGGTCTAGAAAACTCTACATTCTGCAGTTTTCACAGGTTCAAGTTGGAACTTAAAGCAAAGATGGCAGAAGCTAAAGCCTCTGTAGGAAAAGCAGGAAAGCAAGATAAGAGCTCTCCCCATACTGCACTGCACCAAAACCCTTCTTTAAATTGCAACCTGCATTCTGGTTCCCATATCATAAATGGGCTGTTCTGCACATATCAGCACACCTACATATACCTCTAAGGGCATGTCCCACTCCTGCTGGGGCACAAGTGTGAAAATGACATTTCTATTTTAGCTAAGTTTTTTTAAATTTTATTTAAATCAATCTTTATTCATATTATTACAAAGGTTCCTCATTTCTTCCCCCCTCCACCAGGTTCCCACCCCACCCTCTGCCCCCTCCCCACCCCCCATTGTCCTCATCCATAGGTGCACAGTTTATGTTCAGTCTCTTCCCGCATCCACCACTCCCCCTTTCCCCAATAACTGTAAGTCCACTCCCCTCCTGTATCTCCGACTCTTCATCAGGTTTTTCAATCTCCTTTTTTTGTTAATGTTGTGTTGTTGTTTTTTTTTAATTAATAAACTTTTACACTTCTAAGAATAAATTTAAAAATCTAATAATTTTAAACCTTGTTTTTTCTGCCCTGGGAATTGAGAAGCAAACTTGTTTACATGTTAACTTGCCCTTAGGCTTTCAAAAGGTATATTTTGATATTCAAATGTAAATGAACACATTGTTTAAAGATAGCTGCTGGTTGGAATTGGATTACCTGTTCTGGGTGGGAAGGGCTTGTCCTTCCCTTTCTTCACTAAAATTAAGGTGTTAACTTTAAAACCTCTTTTTGGCAAGAAACCTTAAACTTTCAGAACTTTAAATTTTTCAGATAGTAAATCAGTTACTTAGTATTTTCTCAAATCAATAATACCTCCACATGCCCAAGGATCCACTTCACACAAAAGACATTTCCAAATAGATCAAGCAACCTCATCCAGACCCCACACAAGGCACTCACAGATCAACACCAGGCACTATAATAACTCAACACATCCAGATCTAAGCCTTCATCACTTGATTCAGCAGACCCTTAAGTTCCCCCAAAAGTTTCCAGCCATGTCTGAGAGGCAGCCCTGGGACATGGGCAGGCGAGGAGCGAGCTGTTCTGGGCCTGGCTGCTCCGGACATGGCTGCTGCTGCTCTAGGCCTGGCTGCTCCCGACCCGGCTGCTCTGGGCCTGGCCGCTCCCGACCTGGCTGGTCCGGGCTGGATTGCTGCTGCTCTGGGCCTGGCTGCTCCCGACCCGGCTGCTCTGGGCCTGGCTGCTCCTGGCCTGGCTGCTGCTGCTCTGGGCCCGGCCGCTCCTGACCTGGCTGCTCCAGGCTTGGTTGCTGATGCTTTGGGCCTGGCTGCTCCCGGCCCAGCTACTCCGGGCCTGGCTGCTCCGGGCTTGGTTGCTGCTGCTCTGGGCCTGGCTGCTCCCAACCCGGCTGCTCTGGTCCTGGCCGCTCCGGGCCTGGCCGCTCCTGGCCTGGCTGTTGCTGCTATGAGCCTGGCTGCTCTCGACATGGCTGCTCCGGGCCCGGCTGCTCCCTACCTGGCTGCTCCGGGCGTGGCCGCCTCCGCCCCAGGCCTGGCTGCCACTGCCCCAGGTCTGGCTGCTCTGGGCCTGGCTGTTGCTGCTCTGGTTCTGGCTGCTGCTGCTCTGGTTCTGGCTGCTGCTGCTCCAGGCCCGGCTGCCATTGCCTTGGGCCTGGCCACTCTGGGCCTGGCCGCCGCCGCTCCAACATTGTCTTTTTTTTTTTTTTTTTTTAAATGCATTTATGTTGCAATGTTGGCTGTTGAGTTCTGTCTTAGTCTTCGATTTTTTAAGATCTTCTTTGTATTCTTTCTTAAGTAATTTTACTATCTTTTACTATCTTTTGATTTCTTCACATTGAAAACTTCTTTGGTTTCTTCCTCCTCGTCCTGGAAGCTCAGCAGGCTGGCCTGCGTCACTCCTTTGTTCTCCACAGCTTCCTGTGTGGCTTCAGCCTGTTGCCAGGGTCGGTGCTGCCCAGAAAGCAGCCCCTGGCCTCGGCTCCATGGCCCGTGATCAGTGGTTAAGGGCTCAGCAGCACCCCCCCCCGGGGACCCCCATTGCCCGGCTTCTTGCTGGTGCCCGGCTGGCCGGTGTCTGGCAGGGGCTCCTGCTCCTCATCGCGTTCTTCCAGTCTAGAGCTTTTTTCTCCTTCCCGCTCGGAGAGTCTAGCATCAGAGTCAACAGACTGTCCTCTGTGCACAATGTGCGCGTCTCTGGGGGCTCTGACCCTCTCTGCTCCCCTGGGACTCCACCTCACAGCCCTATCTCCCTCTGCTTGAGCCTGGGTCCCCGGGGATTGGCCTAGAACTGGGGTTCAGAGCAGTCGGGAGTGGGGCTCAGCACAGCCGAAGGTTTTGTTTCCTTCCCGCTAGGGCAATCCAGCATCAGAGTCAACATGCCGTCCTCTGCGCGCAATGTGCGCGACTCCAGGGGCTCCGCTTTTCGCTATTCCCCTGGGATTCCACCTCACAGCCCCCTCTCCCCCTGCCTGAGCCTGGCCCCAGGGTCTGGCCCAGAACTGGGGCTCAGTGCTGCCGGTTCTGGGGTTCAGCCCAGTCCAGGGCTTTTATTTCCTTTCTGCTAGGGAACGCCAGGCAGGCACCCAGCCTTCTCCTCCTCTCTGCTCCGTCCTCTTCGTGCGCACGCGTGTGTGCGCTCAGCATGTCTCTGTACCTTAGGCTTTTCAGCTCCTCTAATTTTCCTTCTGGTTTTCTCTTTCCTTCTTGTTGTAGAATTTTCAGTCAGTCGACTACCTGTAGCTCTGGGCCATGTTCATTTTACATTTTAGTTGTATTCCATTGAAATTGTTGTGTGAGGCTGCGGTTAGGTGTTTACCTGTGCAGCCATCTTGGATCCATCCTATTTAACTAAGTTTTTAAGACGAAATAGAAAATCTAGACAAACCTAGAAATATATACTATAGTTTTTGCTATATAGGGCTCTTAAACAAGTATTCTGTGGTGTTGCTTTGAAGTTTTCTTTTGACTCCAAAGAAGTTTTTTGTTTTGTCGTGGTGGGCTCCTCTGGAGTGCAGTCTCCCAGTACAGAAGATGGACTCAGGGGGCCCGGTGACCCAAGATGACACTTAACCAGTTGGCAAAGCCAGGGGACAGACGAGCAAGGAGACTTTATCTTTGTTGTTAAATTTCTCACACAGACACACATCAAACTTATATCATTCTAGTGCAATTTGCCTTTAGCTAGGAGAGAGGCTTAAGTACTAATTACTCAAATTCTATGCAGCCGCTCCTTTCCCACCAAAAGAGGGAGTGGTAGAGTGATGAAGAAATCTAAATATAAAAATGTAATCATTCTGATCCCATTTTGACAACATTTATGGTTTATCACATGCAATAGTTAGGATCCATAAAAAATAAGGGAAAAAGAATTGAATCTATCCTCCCATTTTAAGAGCCCTTATCTTTGTTGTTAAATTTCTCAAAGAGACACACATAAAACCCAGATAATAGACATTATCAACTGCTTATCCCATCAGAGTTTATAAAGTCAATCAGTTATATATGAGTCTGGAAAATTTGCTCAATGTAAGTAAAAAAGATAAAGTAGATAAGTATTATGTACATTCAACTTACAAGTAAACATTCTCTTCTATAATGTGATATCAACTCTTCATCATGTCCTCTGTATGGGCCTTTGGACAAGAGTTCTTTGTTATTCTGATAAGCACAGATAAGGTACAGCAAGGAATCTATATAACTTAAAAATTATAAGAAATAGATAGCATTAGTATTTCATATAAAAGCCAATTATAATTATAAAACAATTTAAATAAACACATTTTGATTAACAGAACAGTATTATAATAAAACTATCATCTGATGCACTGGAAGACTGAGAGCCTGGCTTTGAAAAACAGGCATATAAAATAAAATAAAATAAAATAAAATAAAATAAAATAAAATAAAATAAAATAAAATAAAATAAAATTAACAAAAAATAAAAACAGGCACATATGAAACCACGAGATAGTTATGTCTTAAAAGTGAAATACAAAAAGCAAATAAACAAACAAAACAAACAAAAACAGGGAGAAAAGGCCATAATTTATGAATTCAGGTAGTTTCTTTTGTCTGCTTTGGGATTCACTTTTCTGATGTCTTTCATTTAGATTCAAAACTAAGACTTGTGAAAGTCAATAAACTACTTCTTTAATAGAATGTCATTTTTGTTTGAAGAAAGAATGTTACTTTGTTTTTCAACCACATCATTGATTCATTCGGTGACTATTTGGTCAGGTTTTTTCTGTGCCACAGGCAGAGTTCTAGTTGCTGAGAAAAACTTCATGCTGTGGGGAGAATATCCAAGGGAGATTAGAAAAACATGGAAACCCTAGCAAGATGCAAAGAAGCAAAAGAGGCTGAAAGTGTAGCCTTGTATTATATTAAATACAAGTAATACTAATTTATGTTAATTAAACCTAGATATTATGAAGTTCAGACTAGTTAAAAAAAGGAGATGAAAATTGTTTGAGTGTTATATTTGCCTATGAAATAATTACCCTTCTCCTAATATACTACAGGAAAAATACATACAGATATATATTTGTAAAACTAAAATATTAAAGATATTTTAAGATATGTCTATTGTGTTAGTTTGTCCAATTGTAACATATCTTTATATAAATTCAGAAAAATTGAACATCCTAAAAAATGAAATATAAAGAAAACTCTTGGATACACAGCCAATCAGTGTTAATGCTTATTATATAATTTCATCTATTTAGATATAAATTATCAATTCTCTATTCCAATGGTCAAGCATAGAATTATTGGGAAATAAATGCATTTGTGACAAATCAAATTACACCCTGAAACTGGGGGGAAAAAAAAGTCATTTTATACATTTACTAAAAATGGCTTCTAGGAATTTGTTTTTGAGAAAACCCAAGATTACGAAACTTTATTCTGAAATAATATGGACACATTTTCAGCTAAAATTTTTGTTTTACTTATGAGAACTAATAATAACAATAGTGTTGTTTTAAGTCACTAAGTTGAAATAGTTTGCTGGCATATCTACCTTTTCTTTTAGAGCTGTTAAGTTTCCTGTTATAAAGGTCTCCCCTGAATGACACTCTTATCTAGCCTTTTAGATCTAAGTTATCTCTCTGAGAATAGCCCTGAAGTCATGATCTTGTTCCAATTTTATATTGAAGTACACAATTCGTTCCATATTTTATCAACTACAATATGGTGACTGCCAAGAAAATGGGGCAGTGGAGAATATAGCGGGGGATAAATGGTGATGGATGGGGACTTGACTTGGGGTGGTGAACACACAATACAGTGCACAGATGATATGTTGTAAAATTGTGCACCTGAAACCTGTAGAATTTTGTTAACCAGTGTCATCCCAATAAATTCAATAAAGAGGAAAACAAAGTTTTATAAATATGTTTTCAATCAGAATATGAATCAGCAGTCCAGTTACCACATTTTAATTTAAGATAAAATAAGACTATGTAACCTGATAGACTATCTTTACTTATATTCCTTATACCAATGTAAACTTACGGTTACTAAAAACATTATTGTACTTCAGTACTCAAAACTGACAATAACCCATCAGTAAATATCTCATTCATAGCTTTCAAATGTTATATATTCATTAAAAACAAAGTTTAACAGAACCTTTTGGAAATCCTACTAATAAGGAGGAGGGAATATTCTACAGTAATTGACCCACATACCGTCACAAAGATGGCAGCACTCAAAGCCAATAAGGAGGGAATATGCTAACTGACTGCCATGCCCTCAAAGATGGTGGCACTCACAGCCACAAGATGGTGATGCCCAGTCCCATCAGCCCCACTGGGGCAGCAGGTGAGCGGCAAGGCTGGGCCCGTCCCCGGCTGCTCCATGTGCCTGCCTCTGGAGTCTCCCAGTTGCCCAGGGCCGGCGTGAGGCACAGACAAGCCTTGAATGGTGGCTGCCCAGCCACACTCAGGTAACCAGGATTGGCCAAAACTTGCGCTGCCAGCAATGGCAGCAACAGAAGTGTGATGAGGCGTCAGATTCCCCTGATTGCTGGATCGCCTCTGCTCCTGAGGGCACTCAGACTGTCAGAGGGGGCAGGCCAGGCTGAGGGACCTCCGTCCAGTGAATGAATTTTCATGCACTGAGCCTCTAGGAGTATGCTGCTAGCTATGGTAACTGCTATACATAAAATGAGAATACTGATATTTCTTTTTACAGTATTCTATAAACATTACTTGTCACCATTACTAACTTTCCAGTTGATCCTTCCAATTTAATTTACATTTGCTATACTAGAATATTGACTTTTGAACAAATATATATATAAGTAAATTATGAAATTTCAACATATTTCCAAGTTATATCATAAAAACCTTTAACAGAGGTTAATTAAAAAGAGCTGATCTAGATGCTATGCAGAGAGCTGGCAAGTGACAGTTTTATCTTTTTAATTCTGAATGAGATAAATAATACTTTTCTTGTCTGATTTTATTAAGTTATACAAGAATAGAGGGGTTCTATTTTAATTTTTCTCTACCTAGTTAATTGTGTGATCTTGGAAAAGCTATTGTCCTGGGGAGTTTAGTTTAGCTGCAAAATGCCATTTTAGTCTTAGACACTCTATTAAATTATAACATCATATTAATATTTTTCTCATAATAGTACAAACCTAAGAAATCCTAATATGGACTTAAAATATTTCTATTAAAGAAATAAAATTGTGACCAAAGTAATAACATAAAATAGAGCTATTAATCCAAAGTTTTTTATTTCAATAACCAATGTGACATAAATTATCTTTAAACTACACAATAATAAGGACTTTAATAATTCGCATCCAAAGTGATGTGAAAAAATAAAAGCTTTGTGCACCGTCCACCAAACAGTAGCACTGCCCAAAAGAAATTTCTGTAGAGATGAAAGAGTTTTATGTCTTGGCCAATATATTAGTTACCACATGTAAATACTGAACATTCAAAATGTGACTAGTCTGACTGAGGAGCTAAATTTTTAGCTTTAGAGTTTTTCCTTTTTTAAAAAAAATATATTTTATTGATTTTTCACAGAGAGGAAGAGAGAGGGAGAGATAGAGAGTGAGAAACATCGATGAGAGAGAATCATAGATCAGCTGCCTCCTGCACACCCCCTATTGGGGATGTGCCCGCAACCAAGGAACATGCCCTTGACCGGAATTGAACCTGGGACCTTTCAGTCCACAGGCCGTCGCTCTATCCACTGAGCCAAACCGGTTTCGGCTAGCTTTAGAGTTTTAATTAATTTCAATTGTTACACATGGTGGAAATCATAGCACTAGAAGTAAAGCTCTAGGTTATCATTTAAGAAAAAATAGTTCCATTACTTCAGTATTGGGAAAAGAAAGCAAAGAAAGGAGGAATGAAAGTGAGAGAGAATTCAAAAGACCTTTTACTTGGTTGCAATTTGGCACTACTTAAAATATAGCATTTTAAAATACAAATTACTAGTTAAGTAAGTTCACAGTAAAATATATGAATTAAGAAATATGTAGAGAAACAAGTAAAGGCAAACTAGTGGATAACTGGTAGTAGTAAATAAATCAATAATGATCCTTCTTCTTCATAACAATTAAAATAAAAATAAATACCAGGAGAAACCAACATGGTGGCATAGGTAAGCACCTAAACTGCTGCCTTATGCAACAATTCAAAACTATAACTAAAAGACAGAATGGATATTATTCAGAACCACAGGAAAGCTGGCTGAGTGGAAATTCTACAACTAGAAGGAAAAAGAAAAGCTCATGGAGAAGTAGAGGAGCTGCAGAAAGCTGAGGTATGGAGACATGTGCAGAGAGGAAGGGTGCCTGAGTGCCTGGCAGGCTTTCTTTGGTGAGAGGAAGAAGGAAGCTCCCAATTGCACTGAACCCCAGCTCTGGGAGAGACCCTGTGAACCCAGACTCATACTGGGAAGTCTGGATTGTCAGGTAGAGAGAAAGGCACGCAGAGACTTGGGGGAGCCATGGAGGGCAGGGATCTGGAGGCGTGTGCACAGTGCGTACAGAGAGGACTGATGGCTGAGGTTGCCGCTAGCTTTCCCTAGCAGGAGGGAGGCGAAATCTCCTGAATGCACTGAACCCCAGTTCTGGGCGAGCCCCTGGGGACCCAAGCTCTCATGGGGGGAATCTGGACTGTCAGGCGGAAACTCAGGCGAGCCGTGAAAGGCAGAGGTCTGGAGGCGTGCACGCAAGTGTGAGCAGAGAGGACTGACTGCTGAATGTGCCACTGGCTTTCTCTAGCTGGAAGGAACCAGAAGCTCCCAACTGTGCTGAACTCCAGTTCCGGGTGAGAATCTGGAAATCCAGATTCATTGGGGGAGAAACTGGACTGTCTGGCAGAGGGGGAAACTGGAGGGCGGCTTTCTCTGAGGTGCTTACAGCGATTACAGAGGGATACTGAGACCCAGGGTCCTCATAGGGCAGAGCTGACGGGAAGCCAAGACTGTCTGCTCTGCCCTGAGACTTCATCCCATCCAAGCTGAGCACAGAGGCTTTTGCAATTTTGCAAGTCTTGTCTCATAAAGCTGTCTCCAGCACAGTTCTCCCAGTATAGAGACAGATGATCCTCACAGCCAACTGGCCTGGAGGTCAATTCCTCCCAGGAATATCAACAACAATCAAGACTTAACTACAACAAGGCTGTACACACAGTCCACAAAGGGGTGCATCAAGAGTGTCCACCTCAGGTAACTGGAGAGGCTGACCCACTGGGCCATATAGGAAACCTAGCTCACAAAGCTACCCTACCAACTCAGGGAAGTAGCGAAGACAAAGAAACAGATCACAAACGAAAGAAATGGAGGAAAACAAATGACTGGATATAGAGTTCAAGTTATAAGATTTTTCAAGAATTTCCTAGAAAAGGCTGATAAATTTAGTGAGACCCTCGAGTATATGAAAAAGGACCAACTAGAAATTAAACATATCCTGACTGAAATAAAAGATATTATACACAGACCCAACAGCAGACTAAAGGAAAGCAAGAATCAAGTCAAAGATTTGAAATGCATACAAGCAAAAAACACTCCTCCAAAAAAGCAAAAAGAAAAAGAATCCAAAAAAGTTAAAGATAGTGTAAGAAGCCTCTGGGATAACTTCAAGCATACCAACATCAGAATTATGGGGGTGCTAGAAGGAGAGAGAGAGCAAGATACTAAAAACCTATTTGACGAAATAATGACTGAAAACTTCCCCCACCTGAGATAGACTTACAACTCCAGGAAGCGCAAACGAAAAACAAAAAGGAATCCAAACACCCCAGGACACATAATAATTAAAATGCCAAGAGCAAAAGACAAAGAGAAAATTAAAAGCAGCAAGAGAAAAACATTTAATTACCTACAAAAGAGCTGATTTGTCAGCTGATTTCTCAACAGAAACTATGCAGGCCAGACAGGAGTGGCAAGAAATATTCAAAGTGATGAATAGCAAGAACCTACAACCAAGATTACTCTACCCAGCAAAGTTATCATTCAGATTGGAGGGTCAGATAAAGAGCTTCACAGAAAAGAAAAAGCTAAAGGAGTTCATCATCACCATACCAGTATTATATGAAATGCTGAAAAGTATTCTTTAAGAAGATGAAGAAGAAAAAAGTAAAGATAAAAAAATTATGAACAACAAATACATATCTATCAACAAGTGAATCTAAAAATCAAGTGAATTAAAAATCTGAAAAACAGAATAAACTGGTGAATATAATTGAGTCAGGAGCATAGAAAGGGAGTGGACTGATGATTCTCAGAGGGAAAGGGGTGTAGGGGGTACAGAAAGAGACTGGATAAAAATCGTATACCTATGGATGAGGACAGTGTGGGGAGGTAAGGGCAGAGGGTGGGGTGGGAATTGGGTGGAAGAAAGCTATGGGGGGAATAAAGAGAAACTATTATAATAATCTGAACAATAAATATTTATTAAATTAAAAAATATCAACATTATCTATACTAATAAAAGGGTAATATGCTAATTAGGGCAGATGCTTTCCGGGAGTCCTTCCGATGTCCTTCCAGACAAAGCCACAGCGGCTGCAAAGGCCGAGGGCTGGTCCAGCACTGAAGTCCCTTTTTGCAGAGGCCGTGGAAGAAGGCAGAAGGGAGAAGGCCTGCAGTGTGGGAGAACGAAGAGGGTGGCAGTTGGGGGGATCAGGCCAGGAGAAGAGAGCAGTTAGGCAGTCAGGGGGATCAGGCCAAGTGGGGAGAGAAGTTAGGGGGATCAGACCAGGAGGAGAGAGCACTTAGGCAGTCAGAGGGATCAGGCCAGGAGGGGAGAGCTATAAGGGGGATCAGGCTGGCAGGTGAGCAGTTGAAGGCATCAGGCAGGCAGGAAGAAGCAGTTAGGGGGTGATCAGGCAGGCAGGCAGGCAGGCATGCAAGCTGGTTAAGGAACCAGTGGTCCCAGATTAAGAGAGGGATCCTGGATTGGAGAGGATGCAGGCCAGGCTATGGGACTCCTCCTACCCCCCAAATTTCGTACACCGGGTCTCTAGTAGTTTAATAAGTAGAAAAGTCTTTAAAATCATTTATTTGAAAATAACAATCTAAAATGTATTTTCAGTCACAATACTTAAAGACAAGAGATCAGTTTTTTACAGCTATATTTTTTTATAGTACCTGAAAGTTCAGGCAAAGAGATTGGAAAAACTGTCTTTGATTTGACGTCAGGAATAGACTCAGACAGAAGGAATATTAAAAGGGCAGGTGCCCAAAGGTTAAGAAATACAAAGAATTCCATGTGCTGGGCTATCAGCTTTTCTGGTCTCTAGCAAACTTTTGGCTTCTATCTAATCCTTTGTCATTCTAAATTTCAGCTGCAGTATTTCATAGCTTATAAAAACTATACAGTAATACCAACCTTAGAGATTTAATTTAAACAAAAAATATATTTTGTGTGGGTCATATTAGCTGGGCAATTTTCCTAAAAATCTAAAACTGTTTTAAAAGAAGACATTAAAATATATATTGTGAATAAAATCTTTTCTATATCCAAGATCATAGATGAATAGAATTACATACAAAAATGAGGCTCTTTTTAGCTGTGTCTACTTTTCCTTACCTTTCTCTTTGAAAATTTTCTAGTCCAATTATGAGATACATGGTTGTTTCTCTGAATTTTCTATAATCCTGATGCCATTCCTGTAAGTGAAAGAAAAATAAAAGTAAATATAGGAAGATATTAAAACTACAATGAAAACTCTTCACAAAGTAATACACTGTTCTAATAGCTTCTTGGGTTTTTTAAAAATTTGATTTTAGAGAGAGAGAAACATCAGTATGTGCCCTACCCAGGATCAAACCAGTTACCTTTCCATCCATGGGATTATGCTCAATCAACTGAGCCATGTCAGCCAGAACTGATAACTATTTGAATTAATAGAAGCAAAGGGTTCAAAATTTAGACAAACTAGAGCTAATTCAAGACTTTAATTTCTGACATAGACTATGTTTTAGTAAAATAATGACAATAAAAATGATTAGACATTGATGAAAAATTAATTGACAAAGATCTCATTAAAAACATAAGAATTTAAGATATGATAATCAATCTGGTTATTTCTCAAAAATTCCTCAGTACAAAAACATGAAAATATAGAGGGGGCAAAAGTAAGCTTACAGTTCTGAGTATGTGAAACTGAGTTTATTATTTTATTATTATTTATTAATTATTGCGTGATTTTCCATAAACAACTAAAAACCTATTTTTGTCTACATCACACTGAATATAGGAGATAAATTAATTTCCTACTCTAATGTGATCAAAGCCTGAAGTCTATTATTTGATGCAGAATTTAAAGGAACTAAAAAAAAAGTCTTAGCATAGTAAGTTTATTTGATCGTTTACTTTTTGCCAAATTTGTGTGGAATTTGACTTTAAATGTGGGATGTGAATAGTCTATTTCTCTTAGACACAGTGAAAAGGATAGATGCATTTACCATTTCACTGCCCTACTTCCTAAAAGCCAATTGTAGGGCAAATAGCAGGACTAAAACACCCAGGACTGACATCCTATATAAATCATGGTTTTTTTTTTCTTATTTAATAAAAATTGATTCAAGAAAAGCCATAACTAACATACAATATAGGATTAAAAGATACTGATAAAAGTGTTAAAGCTTTTATATACACGTTATTATAAAAAAATGAAAGAAACATATAGACCTGTTATTGGCCTACTATATTCTCGGTGAATATAAATCATTTTAATTTTAAGGGTTTAAGGCATAATTTTTATATTATTTGTAAAAACCTTAATAACAAATTAAGTAAAAATTTGTTTGCAAGTATAAAGTTAGCTTTTTTGCTACTCTACTGTCATTAAAGAACTGCCTTAGAAGTAGTGAGTTGGTAAACTCCCTAAAAAAAGTTAAAAAGTAAATGTTTTAGGATTTGCAGTCAACTATGTTACCGTAATGTGGAAACATACACAAACAAATTGCTGTGTCCCAATTAAACTTATTTATAAAAATAGGTGGTTAACTGCATTTGGTTTACAGGCCAACGTTTGCTGATCCCTGATTTAGAGCAAGACAAAGATATGTGAAACGTAAGAAATCCAAAAACACGTTATTTGAATACCTGTAGGAGTAATGTCTCTGAAATTAGAAAGAATACAAGATGTTTTCAGAATAAAAATATGCTGAATCCAATCTGATGAAGCAACCTTGGGGAGGGACTACAGAATCAAATCACAATTTAAAATTAAGTTGTAACCTGAATTTTGGGGACAGACAGACTTAACAACCAATTTGCTTGCGACCTTTAGCATATATCTTGTGCCCACTGATTTGTGGGTATGTCCCTATTATGCTTTATTACTCTAATATACCCTTTCTTATGCTAATATTGTTATAAACATAATAGTTAAGGTAGTATGTTTTGACTATTAGTAGAATAACCTTCCTTAGTTGTTCTTCAAGAATGTTCGCCAGGAAACGACTAGATTTAATAAATGAGAGCAGCAAGATAGCAGGATACAAAATAAATATCCACAAATTGATGTCATTTTTATTACCAATATTGAACTATGAGAAAGAGAAACTATAAAAGCAATTCCATTTACCATTGCAACAATAACAACAACAAAAAATAAGATTACCTAGGAATAAACTTAACCAAGGAGGTAAATGATCTGTGCTTGGAAAACCAAAGGACATTGAAAAAAGAAACAGAAACAGAGGAAGATACAAACAAATGGAAGCATATATCATATTCATGAATGGGAAGAATTAACATAATTAAAATGTCTATACTACCAAAGCAGTCTACAGGATTCAATACAATCCCTATTAAAATACCAATGGCATACTTCACAGAGCTAGAACAAATACTCCAAAAGTTCATATGGAACCATAAAAGATCCCCAAATAGCTGTAGCAATCTTGAGAAAGAAGAACGAAGTAGGAAGGGTCACAGTACCGAATATCAAACTATACTACAAAGCTTTTACAACCAAAACAGCCTGGTACTGGCACAAGAACAAACTAACAGACCAATGGATCAGAATAGACCCCAGAAATTGACCTACACCATTATGATCAATTAATATTTGACAATGGAGACAAGAGCATACAATGGAGTCAAGACAGTCTCCTCAAAAACTTGTGTTGGGAAAACTGGACAGACACATGCAGAAAGATGAAACTGGATCACTAACTTATACCATACACAAGAATAAACTCAAAGTGGATAAAAGACTTAAATGTAAGGCATGAAACCATAAAAATCTTAGAGAATATAGTATAATTTAAAATTTGAATAAATACTAAGTATTTGAGTTGGTGAATAAAAAAAGGTTTTAATTTTAAAGCCAAAAGTTAAGACAAAGAATTTTGTGCATAAAAATTATTTCAAGCCCAATCTCAGTACTTGTGTGTGTTCTCTCAAAGGCACGACATCCAATAATGACAAATAAATGTGGAGTTCAATGATTAAAATGAATTTCTAACATCACCAAAATATGTGGTGAAACAAAAGAAAAAATACAGCATGGTTTCACAGAAACCAGTTTGGCTCAGTGGATAGAGTGTCAGCCTGCAGACTGAAAGGCCCCAGGTTCGATTCCGGTCAAGGGCATGTACCTTGGTTGTGGGTACATCCCCAGTAGGGGGTGCGCAAGAGGCAGCTGATAGATGATTCTCTCTCACTGATGTTTCTAACTCTCTATCCCTCTCTCTTCCTCTCTTTAAAAAATCAATAAAATATATTTAAAAAAAATACAGCATGGTTTCAGTAAACCATAGCATTTAAGAATGCAGGTTCTGTTAACCAAGTTGTAATTTGCTAGCTGTAAAAATCTTTTGTGGGTATGCCTACACTCCATTATGCCACGCTTTCTCAGGTGCTTAACTGTGCTAAAATGAAAGCAAGATCTTCCACAGAATTTCCAAGTCTATAGTTTGACCTCTCAAAAAGCACATTACCTCATATTCTTCCAAGTTTACTTCTTCAGGTCTTATCATTTCAAGTTTAGCTTGAGCCACTTTCATTATGTTGTGACACCTTAAAAAAAAAATATATATATATATATATATATATAGATATATATATATTCCTAAATCAAAAGCCAAATCCATAAAACTGAAAAACGTGTTAAGTAAATAAAACTACCCAACACATAAATAAATAAAAACCACTGTTATTGTTTTTGAGACCAATGTTGGATAGTTACAAAGTACATAAAAAAGATAGCATCAATGATTCTAAATCAAATTTATTATGTTATATTTATAGTTTTTAAATTATAGTTTATTAATAAAGTTTGCAAAGATAAAAATATATTTTTAAAAATAATTTGTATTTAAGCAAGCTCAAGATACACTAAATTCTAAAAAACAGCATTATTTGCAAATAGTACAAAAGAATCCAAAACATTCTTATCACTTCAGGTAAGAATGGAAACATTCCAATAAATTTATGATCAGAAAACACTACAAAATATATTTAGTTATCACATACTAGTACATACTCTGTCTTTTAAGTACAACACAAATTACGTTATTAAAACAAATTGCCTATCTGCAGTTGCCAGGACAAAAAATTGCAAAAGAATAGAAAGTCAATGTGGTTATTCCATAAATCTCTTCCCCAAATTCAATAGCATATTTATTGGAACATGTGCATTAACAGATAGATAATAAGGGTCATAATCATACTTCTGAGCTCTTTGTAGTCATATATAGCAAAACAAATGATGTCCATACTTCTACTATTAAAAGTGAAATAGCAACACTCACTGAGCACTCAGTGTCTACTAGATATTACTCAAAACCATTTACTTGTACTATTTCTCTTAATCCTAAATTTCAGAAACATGGTGAGGCAGGAATTAATACTAGATGCTCATTTCTCCTCATATTCTCCTCTGCTAAATATATTTTTCATTCAGAATTTTTAAAATTTCATAAAAGGGTAATCACTTATTTAAGACTTAAAATGCAATTACAATGAACTCCAAGATAGCATAAATGTTTCTGTATTCTAAAATAACTTCCAATACTTTGATCTTTAACTGAGTCCTTCTTTTTTTTAACAGTATTCATTCTCACTATATTAAATTTAAAAATTTAAGATTAGTAAATAATTTTATAGGAACTTCTAAGAGAAAACCTTTTTTGATAAACCAAAATTAATTTAACCAATTATCTGACTCCAAATATCCTTTAGTATAAAGGTTGAAAAAGTTTTAACATTAAAATATTAACTCCCACGAAGCAGTGATTACAGTATACTCTTCTGTGAATCATTATATTGCTTAGCTCAGTAACTTGGTTCACAACTGCAATATATGAAAACAATGAGTTATTTTCAGCTCAAGCTTTTAATGGTCATGATTATAACCTATAGGTAAAATTACAAAGCAACTGTTCAAATTAAGTAAAGTCAGATTTTGTGCTGTATTTATTGAAATGTCTTTGTGTATGTGTAAAATAAACATTCAAATATAGCATTGGGAACTACAAAAGATAAGAACAATTTGAGCCTATGAATAAGGTATTTTGTATTTTTAAATTACCTTTCATCAAAACTCAGATTTCTATCTCCAAATTGTTCCAGCAATGTTTTCTCAATGATTTTCTTTGGTGCCTGGTTCTGGATAAAGTAGACCACGATGTGATGTAGACGATAATCTGTTTCTGGGGGGGTATCTTCTTGGGCCAACCTAACCAACCTTGAATATTCCAACTTGATTGCCTAAGAAATGTAACAAAATGTCAGTTTTGGTTAGCTACCACAATGAAATCTTTGAATATTATAACTTTAATCATTGTTTCAAACATGTCTTTTTTCTTTTAGAGTATTACAAACAAGACAGTATGTATAAAAATATTTATTGTTCCATGTTCCACAGATTAAAATAACTTTATAAAAAATTGACCACATAAGCCTTATCTCTTCAATATATAAATGTACTTTGTGTTTCTACAAAGAAAAATGGTAAAATAAACAATACATCTAAGGTTACTATGTAAGCAATTTTATAAAACTTATAAAAGCCTAGTCAAAGTCCATTCAGGGCCTGGTTAGTAATTGGATGGGAGATAGCTAAGATTGAGATACTAAGCATCTCCTATCCTATGTTTTCTAGAATCAGTTTGATGTAGCCTCTAGCATCCCAAATTCTAGAGCTGAAATATAGCTCCTGTAGAATACCCATATCTGAGAGAAAATGGCTGCTCTTGAATCCTAATAATATTATTACAATTGACTTTTGTTTGAATTGCCCATAGAAAGGGGATGAAAAAACAAGGCAAGAGTATAGTTACCATACAATGAATTCCTTGTTGCTTCAAAGATCTTTGCATTATATTAGTATAATTACTTATTAATGAATATTATTACTTTACCTCCTTGATGCTGGAGTTTTTCTTTATAGATAAAACACCTCATAATTTGTAACTAATTATGATGGGAAAAAAATACTAATACATTTCTACACATAAGAAAATGGTTTGAAAAAATATCTGCTCATACAGAAATATATGTGGAGTTATACATCAAATAATGCTGTATACAAGAAACCTTTACAATTAAAGGTAGTTTTTAAAATACTCATTTATATTAGACTTATACCTAATTTTAGCTTTATTTTACTAAAATATTTTTGGGCTTTATGCAACATATATTTAAAATTATCCATTTTATAGAAGGGTTTTTCTTTGTCAAATGTATGCCTTTCTTAAGTAATTCTTGGACGTACAGATATTACTACCTATACAACTGTATTTTATATAGTTGTATATAACTAACAGACATTAAGTTAAATGTTCTAGTTATATATTGTTATACTTCATTAAGGGGAAGGCTAGTAAGTCCTTTCTATATAGCTTAGCATTACAATAGAGAAAGAATTACTTTATAGCTAAAATAATATATTCTATTAGGTTATTTTTAGAATATATATGTCATTCTAAATTCTGAGAGCAGTGTTTAAAATAGCCATTGAAATTGACTATATCTTAACATGTAGGATTATCAAGGTTCACTTCTTGGCATACCTAATCTAGCACACATGAACTTTGTTTAGAACTATTTAAAATCTCTCCATTTTCCAAGTTTGAAAAAAGGCACATGTTCATTTAATAACCAAATTATACTGAATTTGATAAAATATATAAAACAAAAACTATTTTTACTTGATATGCCCCTTAGGCAATGACTGTTTAGGCTATTATAGGTGTGTGTTTTTTTAATATTCAAATATTTTAGATACTATACTTTTGGCCTAAATTAGTAAGGCCAAAATAAAAATAAATTTGTAATGTGTTTGTTAAAATAATTACTATAGTTTAGAGATAGAAATTATAACACTAAATAGTTATCCAATTTTCTACTTACTTTCAAAATAGAGGCTGTGATTATTTTATAAATAGTAAATAGGTTTTTATTAAAGCACTGGCATACATTCCTCATTTTAAAGTTTAGTTTTCTAACTTTTAAAATATTCTGCAATCCTATTTATTCCTTCAAACTGTCAACAGATTTAGCATGCTAATTTGTTTAGGAGAGCTCTAATCAATTTATCATTAATACAGTTAACACTGTTGAGTTATTAAATCAACCTCATATTAATTCCTCAGGGTCTGTTAGTCCTTTCAGTTAATTTAATTATCACTGATACTGCAATGAAACCACCACACATTTACAAAATGAAATGTGACATTGGACAATAGGTGATAGAACTGCTTTGCATTTAATTTTTTAACTTTTCTTCATCAGTCCTATACTAACCAGGCCCAATTTTACCTATGGTCTTATTTTCCACTAGAGGCCTAGTGCACGAATTCATATGTGGATGGGGTCCCTTAGCCTGACTGGCGATCGGGGCTGGCTGGTTGGAGGGAGGGGCAGCAGGAGGTTGGCTGGCTGGTTGGAGGGAGGGGCAGCAGGAGGTTGGCTGGCTGGTTGGAGGGAGGGGCAGCAGGAGGTTGGCTGGCTGGCCGGGGAGAGGGGCTATGGGAGGTTGTGGGAGCACACTGACTCTCAGGGGGCAGCTCCCACACTGATCATCTGCACCCTAGTGGTCAGTGTGCATCATAGCGACAAGTTGTTCAGTTGTTCAGTCATTTGGCTGCTTGGGCTTTCATACACACACACACACACACACACACACACACACACACACAGGGGGGAGCAGTGCACAAAATTTGTGCACTGGGGGGGGGGGGGAAGGGTTGTTCCCTCAGTCCAGCCTGCACCCTCTCCAATCCGGGACCCCTTGGGGGATATCCGACCACCCATGGATTGGGCCTAAATTGGCAGTCAGACATCCCTCTCACAATCTGAGACTGCTAGCTCCTAACCACTTACCTGCCTGCCTAATCACTCCTAATGGCCTCTGCCTGCTTGCCTGACAGCCCCTAACTACGCCCCCCCCACCCCTTGCCAGCCTTATAACCCCTAACTGCCTCTGCCTGCTAGCTTGATAGCCTATATCTGCCACCCCTGCCAGCCTGGTTGCCCCTAACTGCCCCCCACTCCAGCCCCCACTGGCCTGACCACCCCTAACTGCCTATGCCTGCCAGCCTGGTTGTCCCTCATTGCTCCCCCCTTCTGGCCTGGTCACCCCTAACTGGCCCTACTGCTGGCCTGGTTGCCCCTAATTGCTCTCCACTGGCCTGGTTGCCCCTCTCACTGGTCTGGTCACCCCTCCTTACCCCCCCCCCCGCCCCCCGCTGGCCTGGTCACCCCCAATTTCTGCCCTCTCCACCTGCCTGGTCGCCTCCAACTGCCTCCCCCTCCCCCGTGCTGGCCTGATCACCTCTCACTGCCCCCACCCCCCTGCCACCTGGTTGCCCCATGCAGCCTGCTGTTAATTGCAAGAATCAGCAATGATATACCGTATTTTCCGGCGAATAAGATGACTTTTGAAACGAAAAAAGAGCCTGCTTAGATTGGCCAGAATCAGAGAGGCGGTCTATTAAAAAAAGAACTGGTGTTGCCTTGGAAGTGGGGGGTAGTCTTATACAGAGAATATATGCTTAAACCTATGTTTTAACTGTAAAATTAGGGGGGGTCGTCTTATATGCCAGAAAATACGGTAGTATAGATTCTTCAACAAAGACCTCCTCCATCCACCTAGGTCAGGCTTCTTCCAAGACGCACATGTGCCTTTCTCCACATACAAGATGTCTTTTCTGGTTCATTCCCCATCTATCTATAGATGACTCATTCAGTAAGACTAGTTTAAGTCTCTGTTACAATTCCCAATTCTAAAGATTCAAATGATTTTTACCTAACACTTTTTACTTTTCTAAATCGTGTTATAAAATCATTCTAAATTTATAATTTCTTACAGACTCTATTTTGATATAACTATCAAAATAGATATAAAGATATATAGATATATAGATATAAATATAGATATAGACATCAAAAATATAAATATACACAATACTTTGGAAGTAGTAGGATCTGAGGAAAGTTGACTAGACTAAGATTCAGAATTTACTAATTGTGACAGAGAACCAGTCACATAATTCTCTAAGTGCTATTATCTCTAAAATAATCTTAGTTGAATACAAGGAGAATGTGTGTCTATATATAAATAAATGTACATATTTTAAATGTTTATAGACTATTTTTAAAAACTGACAGGATAACAGGGATGAAGAAAACCCATTTCACATTCCAGAAGATCAGCATCATGTAGGGTACATTCTTTCACCACAACACAAACAGAATTATAAATAAAGATACCTTCACACTAAACACTTAGAAATTTAAAATACTGCTTTAAATAATTTTTAGACTCAAGGAATAAATGTACATTAATATTGAGAATATGAGATATCAACATCTATAGGACACAGCCAGATTGGTTGTCCAAGAAAATTTCCAACTTAAGCAACAAAAAAAAAACTATTTCAAGAAACTAGGGAAAGAAAAGAAACCAAAATAAACTACAGAAAATAAAATAATGTGTGGTGATTGGATATAGTTAATTATTTTTCTTTACAAAAAGTTAAATGGGAAGACCAAAAATGAAAGAAAACTCAACACCAGAAATAAAGGTGATAATACCACTAAATACAGGTAAAAGTTTTAAAAATTATAAAAGGATAATAAATATAACTTTATGCCAATAAACTATAACATCTTGATTAAACAGATGATCATCTAGGAAAATACAAATTACCAGGGTTGCTTTAAGAGGTAGAAAAACTGAAGAGACCCAGCAAAACTACAGAAGAACTGAAAACGTTGCCCAAGATATGTGCTCATTAAAGGAATCAGGCCCACATTGTTTTAGAGCTGTGCTGTTATGTCAAATCTTCAAGGACAAGATGATTTTTATCATATCTAAACTGCTCCAAAGCCTGAAAAAAGGGAAGAGTCTCCTTAATGATATCACAAGGCTAGTTTAAACTGAATATCAAAAACTGACAAGTATAAAAAAAGAAACTATGTATCAATTTATCTATGAACATAGATCTCAACATCCATATTCATTTTTAATAAACTACACTGTGTACAAAAAAATATGTTGGAATACATAGTGTTTATAATGATTTTTTTAAAGTCAATGTTAAGATAACAAATTATTTAAAAAGAAATATGTTCAGCATCTTAAACAGATGCATTAAAATTTTTCTAAATTGCAGCACCAGTGTAAAAAAAATATGAATTTAAGAGTATTTTTAGATTTAGAAGAATGAAAAACCCAATCCTATATAATAAAAGCCTAATATGCA